GTGTAGACCCAAGAGCTGAGCTCTGGTATTGAGAGCAGCAATTGAAAATGATTGCCCGCATTGATGTTACAACACAGTCCCTTCTATCCAGTGTTAGAAGTCAAAACTAAACTGTTTGGACTCGTTAAAACTGAACATATCGTGTATTCCGGGGTACAGGCCCCTCTCAATCATATTATTAATATCCCTCTAAAACTTCGTGAATGACTTCATCTTGTCGTAAACTACAACAATTTTAATTTACGCAAATTCTCGGAAATAGGGCTTTTCTTTTCATTCAGATCGGTAAACTTTTAACGTTTCACTAAAAACATCGATAACAAAAACGACCTAAATCGTCAACATACCAAAATAATTATACAGGCCAAACAGCCCAATATTTTTGCAAGCCACCTTCTTTTTTTATCAATTTTGTGGTAAAATTATCTTATGATTCAAGTAGTAAACAAATCTGTAAACATACGATTTTTGTAAATTAATTTCCTCATTAAACGCCCCTCTTTTAAGAATTTTCGTCGATAAAAAAGATGTAGGTTTTGAAATAATATGATCATTCAAGAAATTTTAGACGGATATTAATAATTTGATAAGTTTGTTCGTTGGACATTAAATAACATTCAATAAAATTTTATCACTTAGTACTTTGATGAATGTTCTCTCCATGGAACCGTAACATTATTCATTTTCTGTGTTTTTGAATAAATAGCGAGTCAAAAATGCAAACAAAAACGCATAAAAAATAGCTCTATTAAAACTGTATATAGCGAATTTTCGCAATAAACTGACGATATATGGTAGTCGCAGCATAAATTTCATATGTTTTATTTCATAATCCTAATATTGACAATGTGGTATCATTTTCGAAACATACATTTCATCATCCAAAATAATTCCTTTCTCATATCATTTCATTCTTTAAGAATATTCAAAAGACTGAATATAAAATGATAGTATGGGTGATAAATAGTCAGGACGCAGTCATTATACAAATGTTTTTATTTGTGCCAACGTTTCAACCCAAACATTTGGGTCATCTTCAGGGCGTGGTTCAAGCACTGAAGGATTTCAAGTACTCGTGAAGATATGTGGGTCATCGTTTGTTTGGGTTGAAACGTTGACACAAATAAAAAAACAATATTTACAATAATAATATGTAGAACAGTCGACTAGTTTCCTTCAATAATTCATAAAATGATAGTAGTATAATGAAAATAGCAGAAGAAAAAAGAGGCATTTCCATATAAATAATATTACTTTCTCTTGTAGCTTATTCAAAACTATTTTTATTTATATACGACACCACGAGGTATTGATTTACGCACGAATGAATTTCAAAAATGCTGCTCCTTTTTATTAACTTTTTAAAATATTATTAGGCTAAGAATTATAGAATTATCAGAAACGGTTTGGAATGTGTCAATCTAACACGTTTCATTGTTAAAAATATAATTCAATTTTTAACCTATTTTTTGAAGTGACATATTTAAAAACAAAAATAATATAGTGGCACTGCACAGTAGTGGATTAAGGGTTTAATTTTTGAGGTGGATATATATATATATATATATATATATATATTAATAACGCTAATTACAGAAACAACAATATTTTTAGGAATAAAATTAAATATTTTTCTTGACAACGTGATTATATTTAGTAATTGAAGTAAATCGTTATATGTTAAAAATAAAACATATTCTGATATAGTTTCGGAGGACTTCAGTCTAAAAGCCCCTTTTTCACCCTTCAACCATGAATCTGATAGTGGTATTACATACATATATGATGGAAGTTTATCGCGTTAGTTGCTCTAGTTTTTAACAGTTTGAGGAATATGGTCAAACTCAAAACTAGTTTCGGAGTTTGAAACTTCTAATAAAAATTTTTTTATTTGGATATATAACAATCTGTCACGTTGACGATAATTATAGTGATATAACACATTCATACCATATATACAGAAAATATAAAACTAACAAAAGTAAAATAATAATCAAAAACTATGTACAATAAAAAATAAAATAACCTAAAGATAAGTAAACTAAAAACATAAAAACACAGTCATACCTATATACAATATATACAATCAGGCAGAGAACCCTAAGCCAGGCTTCTCCCTCCAACTATAGAAGGAAAAACAGGACTTCAAAAGATCCCTGCGCTACTCCCTCAACCGCGTCACTGCTTCTAACGCCAGTGGATTTATTTAATTAGATATACAGTTTGGGAACCCTTATAGGTGACTTCAACTCGCACAATGAATTTCAGAGAAAGGGTCACATTGATTTGATTACTTTTTTTTCTTATTTGTCAATTCTTTCTTTAAGATAATTTTTATCGCAAGTGCTTTTTCTTGTGGCGTTCTTACGATAAAAACGAGATTGTGTGTGTCCGCTTTTTCTTTTCCTCTTATATAACAGCGTTTCCTGTTACGTCTATTTGGAAAAAAATTGGTTACAATCAAATATACACCTTCATTCTTTCATGTCCTATTCATCAGAAAAATTATTACTTAATTGCTGTTATATAATTTTTTTGTTTGAGGATGAAGGAAAAGGTAATTAAATGTTTCGCCGAAATATCTTCATATCGGTGAGATATTGCTGGCAACACCGCCTTATAACGGATATACCTACGGAAAAATTCAATGGCCCACTATTCCTTGATCGGAAATTGCTCTGTGAAATTGGGGCCTATCTATTATTCGTAATGGACTTGGAACCTTCTTGGGAATATTTTTCATAACGTGAAACGGGTCATTGATTGTCGTCTGTTTTTATGAATACTTTTTTTATTTTAAGAGTTCAAAAATTAAAAAAATTTGTCCATAAAACCCCACAACCGGAAGAACAACATAGTCTTACGAACATTTTATAGCAAAAATATATTTTAAAAGTTCCTTTTACTTTGATTTGTTTATTAAACAAATGAATAATATGTGTTTTTGTAAAGAAATTTGCTCTAGAAATCATATTATTGAGAAAGCACTATTATTTTATTATGAAAAAAAAAAAGTTCCTTTTGATTAGGAAAACGTATCGAAGATAAATACTAACGCCAAGATAATATGTTTTATTCTTTCTGCTTCGGCCAGGACTCGAACCCGGATACTGAGTAACCTTGTCCATCGGGCAATGAGCCAGTCTTTGGCCTCGTGGAAGAAGTCCTCAGGAGTAGAAGCGTGGGCGGAAATGCCAAATGATTAGACAGCGGAAATATCCAAGTTATTTTTTACCATTAGCAGTTCTTAAAAAGTCGCTAATCACATTTGTTAATGTACTCATTATGTAATTATTTATTTTGATGCAAGAATAAAATTTATTTTAATTTTAATGAATGAATACAAGGATGATAATTATTAGTTTTTATACGTTCTGAATCCACGTGTTCAATTATAAAAAAAAAGAACGCTTATAATGTGAAAAATTAAAAATAATACCACGATTTTACTGTAGCTCAATGAAAAACTTTGCTAAATCAAGAATATGAATCTACATCCTTGACAATAAAAAGATTCGACCATTTTGGCATTTATCTAAAGTCTAATGTAAAATTTGTCCGACATTTTTTATTTTCAATAACTATAAAATTCCTCTTAAACTGTAAAAAAGTTACAGGCATAATATCACCAAATGGAAGTCTGAGATAAAACGATATTTTATTCGATTTATGTATTTTTAAGAAAGAATATAAAGGAGTGTTTTATGTTATGATTTAACATAAAATGAGATGTTACTATTAGGAATAAATTTTATATTATTCATTATCACAGGAAATATTACCAGGAATTGAAATGTTTTCGTATTAGATACCTACCTAAGTATTTTTTTTTTAAAAGGTTGATTTTTTCATTTCTGTAATAGTAATTTTACATCTGCAAAAATAAAAAAATAAAAATGTATCTAGCGAACACTTTGCATTTTCAAGTTGCAAACCAGGTTGAACTCAACTGCTCGAATATAGTAGTGGATCCTAACTCAAACAGTGGAACTAAACTTCAAGAGAATGGAATATGAGCTGGAAACACATAGTTCAAAAGTGCCCCACTTCTTTTTTCAAAACAAATAAATCAATTAATAAATATTTTAAATATCGGCAATGAAATATTTAATAAAGAATAAATCAAAATGAAACGTAACGTTGCAATCACTTTTGTATGAGAGGTCATTCACAATAATGTTTAATGACCGTAGATAGGTTCTCAATATTTAAAACTATACCAAATCAACCTATGCCCTTTTGGAATCCCCTTTTGGAAACTCTTTTGGGCATAGTGTCAATATTTAAAACAATACCAAACAAAGCTATGGTTTTGGGTGGAAGAATTATTAAGAAAGTCCTATATCATTACCAGCCTCCGCTTGTTGAAGGTTGAAGGGAGGGAAGATACTTGTTCAGCAGAGGTTAAGTTGGTTATGTAGAGGTTAGGTATGCTATGCTAAGCTATTCCTCTTACACCACTTCAACGTTCCTTAAAAAAATAATACTTTTATAAAACTCATGAAAAATCACTCCTTATAGTCAATTTGATTGCAGAAACGCTTCTATAAAAAATGTGCTCAATTGATAAAATTATTAATTGAACATGTTTTCCGGCCAATGCTTAAGAGAAGAAACACCAAATTGGCTGAAAGGAGTCCTTTTTAACTTTCATAAAAGTATTCCTTTTTACGGAATATTCGAGTTGAGTCAAAGAACTATAACGTAGATTATTCATCCCACCGTGGATGTGTTACAGGAGGGTGTATTGACCCAAGAGTCGATCAACACTTGAAGGATAAAGAAATTATTTTCTGCTACAGCCGACCTCTAACTTGAATTCTGTGCTATCGCCATGAAAATCGAGTTTTAACAAGTAAACATAAAAATGGAATTTATTTAGTGACAAACGACATTTGTGAAGGAGTCTGCTTTAAAATTTGACTATATGCTATTCGAGTTGAATGAACATCATGGAGGAAAAAAGTTCTTTCATAGAGGAAGAACATACTCGCGACAACATGCTTCAGGTGGCGCAGAACGGCAACTTCAAGTTGTTGCTTGAAGAAGTGCACAAGACCCCTGGTTGCGGCTTCCCGCGCCCGCCAACCGCCAGTTCCCGCCACAAGCCCCTCTTGACCTTGGCCGCCCTGACATCATCGCTAATAATAACAGTGAGAGATATCTGTCACCCAGCGATAGCTCCCACATCCCCTCCACTCCATCAAGGATCTTCCTCCCGATATTTTTTTATGATAGGATGTGGAAAGTAGGAAGCCAATATGTGACCAACTGTTGCATGAAAAAAAAAAAACACTTTTTTTACTAAGGAAGATTAATTGTAAGCGCAGTTTAAAAACAGTGAAGGGGGACCATTTATTTGCTATTTAACAAGGCCTTCCGAATCAAAGAAGATCCAAGATCCAATAGCCTTTATGCTCCAAAGAGGCGCTACTCCAGAGGACAAAGGCTTTTTCGTAAGTTCTTGAACAGATTCCACTCTTTTCAGATTTGTTTTAATTTTTCCTTTCTTCTCCGCGATACTGTTATCAACCTTGAACTTACTACAATCTACGAAAATTTGTAAAAATATATAGCGTATGTTTCGAAAGGAATGAAGGTTTTTCAAAAACGTCAACCTGAAATAGTACCTCGGGTCTAAGGGTAAAGTTGGTATTTTTTTCTTGAAGAAGAGCGCACAGGAAAAATTCTTGCTGTAGTGCACAGCCATACCTAGTTATACCTCTGCGCACATATGAAAATATGATTCTGTTCATTTAGAAGTATGTGAAGTCAAAGACAGTTAAATTTCGTTCGAGGCGCCAACGCCTCTACGCGACTAGCCTTGTGATACCTACGGGAGTAAAATTTTGATTTTAATTTCAGTTTATCTTAGTCTTTCATAATATGAATATGATTCCTAAACAAAAGACTTGTTCGTAATAAAGGTTAGCCTAGATGGTCTGTCCCTTATCACACGAGTCGGTTTTAAAATTCGGTCATAGGTCCACCCCTAAATTTTCAAAAGGAATATAACAAAGATCATAGTCACATTGACAATAATACAATATAGCGGGATACACAGTATGTTTTCAAGAATTTCATGTTTCCTGAACACAAGGAGCTCTGCCATAGCTTGATCAAAAATTTCCAACATGTTGGATCCATTTGGTTTCACAACCTCACGAAACCCTTTTACACGGATAATTTTTTCGATCAAAAAGAATTACACTTAGCAGTATATGAATTTAATAATGCGTTTTATTTTATTTCGTCTCATAATTAATGAGTTAATTAAAAAAATCATTCTAATATTCCGTCGAAAATTTAAATTATTATTAAAATTAGTACAGTATGTTTTATAGTTCACTGGATAGGACAAAAAAAAAAAAAAAAAAAAAAAAAAGACCAGACTTTACACATGTAAATTTAAAAAAAATTAAATTTATCCTTTGCAATCTTATTTGTATTACGGTCTTGGGATATTTTAATTTGTCAAAGTCAATTTTTCAAGGATACGAAATATTTCTGAGGAGTGACTTTCAATTAAAAATGATAACGATAGGAAGAGGAAAGTATCATCCATAATTTTTTTTATAAATTAAATAAATAACATACAAACTTTATTATTGTGGATTATATCTGTTCACCGGAGGAGAAGGTGACCATGTCCATTTTGATATTTAATAATTTGGTAACCTTTTTTTCGAGAACTTGTTTATTAAGAAATATTACAATATCTATAAATTAGGATCAACATTTTTGAGGGGGGCATATATTGACAGGAGAGGGGCACGTTTGAATGGAGTTATGAATTTTCGAAATGAATATTTTCAACATAAGGGACATGGGAAATACATGGAACATACAGCGGCGAGAATAATTATGTATTATCTACGATTTTTTTTATTCCACTTTCCCTTGCTCTGTTTTTAAGAAAAGTGAGCAATAAAATACCTTGGGAGGGGGAGGGGGGTAGATTTTTGCTCCATCGACTTTGGTGGGGATGGGCAACTCTGACTAAGAAACAAATTTTAATAGCTCAAAGTTCTGGAAAATCGGCTTCCTGAAGCGGTACAAAAGTGTGATATGTTGTCCTTTACCTCTGGGGTATAAATTTAGTAACTAAGAAACAACTTTTAATTGTTCAAAGTTATAGAACTTTGGCTCCCCTTAACAAATAAAAATAAAATCTCTGGGAGAAGCCAATTCGAAAATACAGTTACCCATTAACTGTAGCGGGTTTGATATCTACGAATTTCGTTTATCAGCTAATATTAAAATACGAAAGAGTGCTATATTTGACGATTCCGTATTGATTATTCTTATTAAAAAGAAATAATACTAATGAATACTGAACATGCATTTCAGTACTGATAGTGCAAAAGTTCGTATGTAAAAACGCATTATTTCTTTATGCTTTATTGGTATAATTTCATATTTGATTGTCCTCTGCTATTTTCCATAGTACCAGACTACTTATATCAGTTGCATACTATAAAATGTCACATTTAGCACAAATAGAATAAAAATTAAAAATTTTTACGTACAACAAAATTTTGCACTAATAGTGATATATACATAATAGGTACCTTTTCAGTTCGTAAGATGGACGGAACTACAAAATCCAAAGGAAAAATTCAACTTGTTGTTTGTTCGGAGTTAACGAGACCAATATTTTTCTTCAGTCAGAACAAAACTGATTAAGCTTGAATATGGAAATATGGGTGAAGTTCACACAACTTCGATATTTAAGGAGGAAATCGAGACCAAGGCGAACTGATTGAACTTCAATGGAAATAAACACAATCACAAATAAGACTTTTTTTTTTTTGTTTACAAATTCAGAATAACAATTACTTTAAATTTACTGAAAATTACACGAAATCTAAGTAAGTGTCATGACAGTAATGTTTGGAATCGACCAAACAATACAGTATCAATTATTTTTTTTAACAAAACCTAAAGTTTTATAACCCCATAACAATATTGTAAAAAATTGACATAGTGTTGTTTAATTCCGAGGTACCGAATTACTTATACAATTATAGTTTGCAAACGCCACTAAACAAACGATAGATCTTAACTCTGTCAAAGGATAAGCCGCTAGGACTAACTAATTTATTCATGATTCATATCATAATTAATTTTGGTTCACTGAATTGGAAGTTTTGATCCGACAGCAAGTTGCGCCGCATTTTTTTTTTAATTTTTAAACAAAAATAATTATAATAAACATAAGCTGTAATGAGGCTGGGACGTGATATCGTAGGCAGGATCTGATGATTGATGATGTGCCCGTGAAGGCATGCAAAAAAGTTCACTGAAGCTGTAGATATGAGCTAACGAACCCTGAAGGCCGATATTATCCATTCATTGAGCAGAGGCAGCCCTGACCTAAGATTATAATATCATTTCTCTTTTATCCTCTTTCGAGATAATTCTCCAAGTTCCACAACTCCTGTTTGGTAGATATACCACAGGACTGAAATACATCTAAACAACAAGTTAATTTCCCTAAGGAACGAAGCTGTAAGCCCGGATACCGGAACGAGGGTGCTAAATACATAGTTTGGAAGAAGAAAAATAAACACGGAGCTGTTTGTTATTGCAATATATAACCCCAAGGATTGACTTATTGACCCAGTACCCTTGGCAGACGGTTTTAAAATGTAAATAAACTAATATAAACCGTGCGGACCTCCGGTTTGGTACTAATTTCTTTTAACACCTTGATTCATGTTGTTTTTTTTTTTCACTCTGGTGGGAAATTCCTAAAGAATATAAGATCAAAGGAAACCTATTTCTTTTAAGCTAACGGACACTAATTACATAATTACAGTAAAAAAATAAATAAAATAAAATAAATAAATAAAATTTTGGTTAATAATTTTTATCCGTATAAATTCATCAACAAGGAGGGATACAAAATTATAAATAATAAAAAATATGATAATCTAAAATATGATATGAACCACATAACTATGATGTGAACCATCCCTAAAATATGATTAAAAGAAGTAAAAATAAAAATCTCATAACCGATTATTTTAAAATATTAGATATCAATAAATAAATAATAAAAGGCTAAGTAAACCCGAAGGTTCGATGCCGATACCACCAAACGCTTATTACACACTTCCCTCCACCGTTCGCCGTCCAAACCCAGTCCCTTCAGATCAGCTTTAATGCAATCTTCCCACCATCGCTTCGCTGGGGTCTACCCTTCGGACGTTTACCATTCGGTACAGCAAATATTAACTTTTTAGGAATTCTCTCGTTACTAAGTCCAACAATTTTACAAGCCCATTTAATTCGCCGCCATGAAATTACCTCAATTATATTACCCGGATACAGTTCACGCAATTCGGCGTTGTGTAACCGTCTGAACTGTCCGGTTTACTCATCCTTCTTCGGTCCGAATATTCTTCGCAAAACTTTATTTTCAAAAACCTTAAGACGCTGCTCATCCCTTAATGTAAGTGGCCAAGTTTCGCATCCATAAAGAACTGTAGGTAAGATAATGGTTTTATAGATTCTAATTTTCAAGTTCCGGGACAAGATGCGCGAGCTAAGTAGTTTTGTCACAGAAAAATAATCAGCATTTCCTGCCTTCAGTCTAACCTTAAATTAGATATCAAAGAAAATGCAAATAAAGGCAATCAGAATAATAAAGATAGTTAATTTTATTTTTATTTTTTAGAATTGACAAGAATTATACAAAATGCGAGGAACGTGGTGATTTTTATTTTTGTAGACTAGAAATAAATTATATTAGAATAATTAGTCCAAGTTAAAGGATATATTTCTCTTATTGTAACTACTCATAAAGGCTCTATCTTGAGAAAATACTTTCTTACCGTCCATTAAAGGTTGGAAGAGAAATGCGACCTCCCTGATTATTGGATGTCTCACAGGACATGGGGGTTTCGCGACAAGCTTTATGCCTTTGGAAAGGTAATTAACCCCCAATGACCTATTTGTGGTTTTTCCCGAAATTGCTGAGCATGATGTTACGACTCGCAATGATTTTGAGACAATAAGGGCCAAACTGCCGAGGGAAACCGGACTCTACATCATCAACCTCCACTAATGAAGAAGATCCAAGAATGAGAACAAGTGGTAGAAGTATCGTGTTACTTCTACCAACAAAAAAACTGTAGTGTCGAAAGACAAGGGAAGATGAAAATAAAATAAAAAAGTGCATCTTATAGCTCAACTATTAAACTGGAACGATATTCCCCAGTGGGACAAGCTAATTTCTTATTAAGTA